TCTCACCTCTGACTGACCTTAAACCTCTACACAAGTAGTAGAGAAGGCTCAGGCCAAGTTTTCAACTGCTTGGCCGAACATTGAAAGTGTGTCTCAAGCCAACACACATACACAGCACCCTCTGCAGAGAATGTGAGATTATCTAGTTTCAAGCATTTAAAGAAAATATCTAATTACTAACTGAGCACTAAACTAAAGGAGCAGAGACCTTAGTAGCTACACACACAAAAGAATATATACTTTACATGATTAATTCAGAAAAGTCACTCATTAAAAACTAAAACAAAAAAAGCATCATCTGATACAATTTGATAAACAGGACCTACACCTATGAATGCAGTAGCTCAAAAGAGGGAACAAATCCCTGCTGCAAGAACTATTCCCACCCCCTCCACACAAAGGGTAGATAGGGATGGGCAACTTGGACATTGGCTACCCAAAATGGGGGGAGGGATACTAAGGCATGAAGTGACTGGCTTACAAGCTTTCAAGAGGGAACCTAGATCCAAAGGGTGTGGAGGAAGGTAGAGTCTCCAATGAATAGTGTCCAGCCTGCCCAGGAAGGGCTGATGAAACGAAATACAGATGGGTCTCTTGTGATGTAATTGTGAATGATTGTTATCAGGACTGATTGTGAGGGTTGGAAATCTAGAGATGGACTTTTTGTAGCAAAGAGGGGAGTGATTAACTTTTTAGTCTAGGAGCGGAGGACCCTGGGACCATCGATGGAGAAGAGTGAAGAGCGGAATCCTACCCAGAGAGGCGGTGGGGCCTGAGATGGAGGCAGAGCAGACGACATCAAGAGATGGTGTGGCTGGGGACTCGGGATCAGGAGATGGAAAGGGGCTGAGGACTATGGGGTGTGTGTGTGTGCAGGCTTACAGGGTACACTCCTTGGTTGGGTGAGGATGCATGGACAGGATGGTAACTATGCCAATGAAATGATAGATGATGGAATGAATGTAAAGCTGATGTTCTCCCATGTAGACTACCACACAATTCACAATAAAACATTAAAAATAAATAAATTAATTAATTAAAAAACTAAAACAAACATCAACAAATAAAGCCTTGGATGAGGGGAAAGTGTTAAAAAGCAAAGGTGTCACTTTGAAGACTAAGGTGTGCCTGACAATGAAAAAGAAGAACACAGGGGTTTGAATTATGCTGTTAGAAAAGAATATGGAATATATCACAAAGGGCCAAAAGGATTAACAAATCTGTCTTGAAAGAAATATAGTCAGAATGCTCCTTAGACAGGAGGATGGTGAGACTTTGTCTTATGTACTTGGGACATTTTATCAAAAGGGATCAGTTCCTGGAGCAGGAGGTCAGGCTTAGTAGAGCGTCAACCAGAAAGAGGCAGATAATAAGATGAAATAACACATTGTCTGCACCAATGGGCTCAAATGTAACAATGACGGTGAGAACGACACAAGAGCAGGCAGTGTTTCATTGTGTTGTACAAAGGATCACTATACCTTGAAATCAGTTTAATGGAACCTAACAACAGACAACCACCATTTGTCTGTCAATTTGTCATTCTGTGGTGGCTTGTGTGTTGCTAAAAGATACGCCACAGGTATTTTCAATACCAGTGGGGGCATCCATAGTGGAAAGACTTCAGTAGAGCTTTCAGACTAAGACTAGGAAGAAGAGGTGGACTATTTCTGAATGGGTGGCGATGGTGTAGTTGTGTGTCATCAAGTCATTTCTGAATCATAATGACCCTGTGTAGGGCTTCCAAGGCCGGAAATCTTTATGGGAGCAGGAAAGTCTCATCTTTCTCCCACAGAGCAGTTGACGGATACAAACTGCTGACCTTGTGGTAAACAGTCCAATGTGTAACCCACTATGCTACCAGGGATGAACAGCAGCAGAACACTGTTTGATGTGGTGCTGGAAGATGAGACCCTCAAGTTGGTAGTCACTCAAATTTCAACAGGAAAAGAGATGCTTCCTTAAAGTAGAGTTGTCCTTAAAACATGACAGGGGTAGAGTAAAGCCTTGGGACTTTCATTGTTGATGAGGCAAAACTCAAATGAGAATAAACAGCTGCAAAAATTCATTAGTAATCAGAACATGGAAAGTATAGAGGGAGGATGCATCTAGGAAAACTGGAAGTCATCAAAAATGAAATGGAATGCATAGATTAGTATCAGGCGTTAGTGAGCTGATACAAACTGGTTAGCCATTGTGAATCCAACAATCACATGGTTTACTGTGCTAGAATCAACAAAGGGGAATGGTTTACATTAATTAACTAAAGAGTATACCTAGAACCATCATGAAGAATAACACTGTCTATGATAGGGTAATACCCATAAACCTACAGAAAGACCAAGTGCTGTTGTTGTGAACTGTCAATTTGGTTGGTTCCAACTCTTAGGGACTCAGTATTAGGTTTTCAAGGATTGACAGGTGAGCCTGAACCACTAATCTCATGGTTCAAATTGACTTTGTGGTCGTGCGCTTAACCTTCAGCACCACACCCAAATTCTGAGAAGATCATTGACTTATCAATTGCAAATACCTTTTTTCAACAATATAAATGGTGACTATACACATGGTAAGGTGGAGGGTCAGAAAAAAAGAGGAAGACCCCCAATGAGATGGATTGGCCAAGTGGCAGCATCGATG